TCTGGGACATGTGATCAACAAAGATGGCATATCAAAGGATCCACATAAAATTGAAGCCATTGTAGACTAGCCAAGACCAATCAATGTGTCAGAAATCAGAAGTTTTCTGGGGCTTGCAGGTTACTACCGCCGGTTTGTGAAAGACTTTTCAAAACTTGCTATGCCATTAACAGAGTTAACATAGAAAAACATGCCATTTGATTGGACTGATCAGCGGGAGTTAGCCTTCCAAGAATTGAAGACTAGATTGATAACTGCACCTATCTTGACATTACCTAACGAAACTGATGGGTTTCAGATTTACAGTGATGCTTCCTATAAAGGTTTAGGGTGTGTGTTAATGCAGAATGAGAAGGTAATTGCGTATGCTTCTCGGCAACTTTGACCACAAGAAGAGAACTATCTAACACATGATCTTGAATTAGCAGTTGTGGTGTTTGCTCTAAAAATTTGGCGACACTATCTGTATGGTGTGACTTGCGAGGTGTATACCGACCATAAAAGTTTGAAATATTTCTTCACCCAAAAGGAACTGAACATGAGACAACATGGATGGCTAAAATTGATCAAAGATTATGACTTGCAAATTCTATATCATCCAGGACAAACAAACACTGTTGCGAATGTGTTAAGTAGAAAGTCAATTGGAAATTTGTCTTGTTTGCTCACCGGTCAAAGAGAGTTATTATGTGACTAGGAAAAGAATGAGATTGACATTGAATTGAGTGAATAGGGTGGGATCTTGACCGCCATTTCTACTTAACCTACAATCATCGAAGAAATTAAAGAGAAACAACTCGAAGATGAGTTCTTGAAAAAAATGGGGATGATATTGACTCAAAATCGAAGCCGGGATTTGAAAATCGTGTATTGAAATTCCAGAATAGACTTTGTGTACCAAATTGTTCTGACTTAAAGAAACGAGTTATGATGGAAGCCCACAATTCTAAATTTGATATGCATCCGGGGAATACAAAGATGTATCACGACTTGAAACAAAATTTCTGGTGCCTGGGAATGAAGAAAAGCATTGCTGATTTTGTGGCTAGGTGCTTACATTGCCAACAAGTTAAAACTGAACATCAACGACCCGTTGGATTACTTCAGCTGCTTCTAATACTGGAATGGAAATGGGAGCATATCACGATGGACTTTATTGTTGGCCTACCTCATTCTTCTAGAGGTATGGATTCTATCTGGGTCATTATTGATCGTTTAATTAAATCTGCTCATTTTCTGTCTGTGAAAACCTTTTATAATGCAGACAAATTGGCTAATATATATACGAATGAGATTGTGAGATTGCACAGAGTACCAATATCTATTGTATCTGACAGAGATCCCAAGTTTACTTCGAGATTCTGACAGAGTCTATAACAAGCTTTAGGGACTAAATCGAGACTGAGCAGTGCTTATCATCCACAAACAGATAGCCAATCAGAAAAAACGATACAAACCTTGGAAGATATGTCACGAATGTGTGTGTTGGACTTCAAAGGATATTGGGAAGCTTATTTACCACTGGCCGAATTTGTGTATAATAACAGCTATCACTCGAGTATTGGAATGGCTCCTTATGAAGCTTTGTATGGAAAAAAATGCCAATCTCCAATCTATTCAACCGAAGCAGGTGATAGACTGTTGTTGGGACCAGAACTTGTGCAAGAAATAACTGAGAAAGTGAAATTGATTCAACAACGTATGAAAACTGCCCAAAGTCGCCAAAAGAGTTATGTGAATGTCTGGAGGAGAGAGAGAGAGTTTGAAGTCAGTGACCACGTGTATATCAAAGTGACTCCTATGAAAAGGCAGACGCGGTTTGGGGTTAAAGGCAAGTTGGCACCACAGTATATTGGGCCATATGAAATATTGACAAAATCAATCTGGTGACATATCAGGTGGCTTTACCTCCGGTTATAGAGAACATGCATAATGTTTTTCATGTTTTGATGCTTTGGGCATATTTATGAGATCCGCAACATGTTATTGAGCTGACATATGTACTCCTGAAGGATGATTATACGTACAAAGAACGGCCAATTCAAATTGTAAGCCGCTAAATTAAAAGACTGAGGAACAAAGAGATTTCATTGGTGAAAGTAAATTGGCAGAATCATAGAGGAACATACGTAACATGGGAAACAGAAGAATATGTGATGAAAAGATACACAGAGTTGTTCTCTCTGGATCCGATATTCTTCCAAAATGAAGGTAATTCGAGTTTGGAGGACCAAACTCTTTGCAGGCAGAAGAATGTAACAATCCCGACCTGTCTAATAAGTACGATTAAGAATGCCTAATATGTAATTAAGAGGAAATTCTACATTAAATTGCATGTGTATTGTGTTATTTGTGTTTATATATGCTTGGCGAAGAAATGTCTGTCTGACTTTTTGATTCAATATGCAAATTGAAATCCTTATCGGCATCCAATGACAAAATTGCCTTGGTTAATGTGTCATTTAGAATTTTTAAAATTTTATGGTAGGTTTAATAGAAATTCAATTCGGAATCAAATAATTAGAATAAAATAATCACAATTGACTATTCATAACTCAACTTAATTATGCCTCATTAATGAAGCCTATATAAGGCTTCTAAATTACAAAACGCACTCATTTTGTGAACTTTGAGCTCCCAAACATGAGTGAGAGAGAGAGAGAGAGAGAGAGAGAGAGAGAGAGAGAGAATTGAGATCAAAGCTTGAGATTTAGAAGGAAATTGGGAAATTGGCCTCCTGGCTCAAAGAATTGGACATCTACAGCACAATTGAACACGAAGGTAAGACTTCAAGCCCTTAAGGTTGTAATTGAGTTGGTTAATACATGAATTCAAGTGAGTTAGGTGGTTTAATACAAGAATGAAGCTAGGATTAAAGAATTTAAAATCTATACATGCTTGCATGCATAATTCATGAACTACGAGTTTCATTTTCACTCAATTTTTACATGCAAATATATATATTTGCTATCTCTTAGGAGCTCACCATGCTTTACCTCAAAGCACTTCATTTATGCATGTTTTCGAAACTTTGAATTTAAATTATTGCATGCATGTTATGCATAAATATTTCAAGTTTGGTTTTGCACAATTGACTTGAGTTTGGGCCTTGATTTTGCAAAATAACTTTCAATTCATGATGTTATACTAGTCTAGACATGTTTTCTCAAGTTTTGGCCCAAAAGGAAGTGTTTTGTAGCTTTGAAATTGAGTTTCAACTTTGAAGAACAAATCTAGAAATTCCAAATTTATGCATCTTCACTTGACCCCCCGAACCTGCTCTCGAGTGACCACCCTTTCATTTCCACATTGGCTAGAGCAACCAAACCATTGGCTCAATCATAAAATTTGAGCTCCCAGTACTTTTGCAGACATGGGCCTAGGCTTAGGCAACAGAACCTGTGCTCGAGTGACTATCCTTATTTTTTATCCTCCCCTTGAGCATAGAAAGTTGTGCTCAATTGTAAAATGATAGCTCCCAAAAGTTTTGCAGAGTTTTACAGACCGCCTGAGCGACCAAAGTTACGCTCAAGCGAAGAACCTATTTTTAGCAATTTTGACCAAGTGTTCAACTTCCATTTTTGCATCCTCACTGCATCTTAGGCATTCCTAAGCCCTAATTAGGACATAATAAGGAGGATAAGGATTAGAAACACACCAAGATAGAAAAGTAATTAGTTAAGTGTTTTTCAAGCGTGTTCTTCATTATGTATCCACTATGTGTTTGTGTAGGTCACGCGCCATAGATGGTCTAATCTGACTGTTCTGACTATTTTGTTACCGGAGTTATTGTAGACGTCCCTAAACGTCCCGGGAGGGAATTCCTGTTTTGTTCATTTGGGCTCACCACAGTTCGGACTCAAATTGTCACGGTTCTTAATCTGATCTCGCAAAGCGCAATGCAAGATCGATAAATCACCAAAGAGTCCAAATCTAGCAAAATGTTTTGAAAAACTGATTTTTAGAAAGAAGTGCCAAACATGGACTGCTTTGCCAGATACAGAGTCGCCACCTAAATGTTTTATTTTTGAAAAATTTAGAAAATCCTGACTCGTTGCCTGAGGCCACATGTCCGTCATCACCGAAGTTGCCTCGGCTCAGGAACTTGGGTACGATTGGGGAAGGTCAGTTATGAGCACCCCCACTCGCCCGATCCGAAGATCGGCCTATACTAAGCATGATATTTTGTTTTGAAAATATATGTGTTCTTATTCCAATTAATTAGCTAGAATTTACTATGTGATGCGCACAACACACAAGTATAGACTAGATTGCCTAATTTGGAAAGAAACATTAGATTTGATGCACTCTGTCTTCTTTTAGTTTCTCCAGTAAATAGGATTTGATGCACTCTGTCTTCTTTTAGTTTCTCCAGTAAATAGGATTTGATGCACTCTGTCTTCTTTTAGTTTCTCCAGTAAATAGGATTTGATGCACTCTGTCTTCTTTTAGTTTCTCCAGTAAATAGGATTTGATGCACTCTGTCTTCTTTTAGTTTCTCCAGTAAATAGGATTTGATGCACTCTGTCTTCTTTTAGTTTCTCCAGTAAATAGGATTTGATGCACTCTGTCTTCTTTTAGTTTCTCCAGTAAATAGGATTTGATGCACTCTGTCTTCTTTTAGTTTCTCCAGTAAATAGGATTTGATGCACTCTGTCTTCTTTTAGTTTCTCCAGTAAATAGGATTTGATGCACTCTGTCTTCTTTTAGTTTCTCCAGTAAATAGGATTTGATGCACTCTGTCTTCTTTTAGTTTCTCCAGTAAATAGGATTTGATGCACTCTGTCTTCTTTTAGTTTCTCCAGTAAATAGGATTTGATGCACTCTGTCTTCTTTTAGTTTCTCCAGTAAATAGGATTTGATGCACTCTGTCTTCTTTTAGTTTCTCCAGTAAATAGGATTTGATGCACTCTGTCTTCTTTTAGTTTCTCCAGTAAATAGGATTTGATGCACTCTGTCTTCTTTTAGTTTCTCCAGTAAATAGGATTTGATGCACTCTGTCTTCTTTTAGTTTCTCCAGTAAATAGGATTTGATGCACTCTGTCTTCTTTTAGTTTCTCCAGTAAATAGGATTTGATGCACTCTGTCTTCTTTTTAAATTTTATTTCTAATTCACTAATTACAGGTCTTCCAGGCATACTACTAACAGAATCATGTCAAGAAGGCCCTCCCGACGTCTCGCAGATGGTGGGAATATTTCATTCATCAGCTCTTTACATTCCAAAACAAGCTCATCGCCTTTATTATCTCTTGGACTTGTGGTTGTGGTAAATCTCAATTCCCCCTTTACTCTGCACTGGTTGCTCCATAGTTTCTGTCCCTTGTCATAATTATATAGTCATACAATTACATTAACAACCGGAGCTTATCTTTTTTGATAAGCATGTACAATCAGCAAAATTTTCATTTTTTAACTTCTCAATTGATGCCTCTGTCATAAAATATTAGAACCCAGGGTTTACACTTTTATTATATTGGCTTAAGTTTAGTTGTTATAAAGCTGATTTAAATTGTTTTTGGATTTTCAGGGTTCATTTCTTGTTATTGGATATCTGTACAGTGGTTCAGGTCTGCATTTGGTCTGTCAACTTGAATACTCATTACTAAAAAGAAACGAGCCAAAACTACTGCTCTATCTCCCCATGGGTTGCTCTATTTTTTGTTTTCTTCTTGCTGCCATAGGAAACCCAGGGTGAAGAGTTAATTTGTATCTAGTTTTCTTACTTATTTTTCTGAACATTTAAGTTCTTGAATCACAGGTGGATCTAGGAGTGATATAGAAGCTGCAAGTAAACTTGAAGGTGAATATCTGTTATTGCTAAGTATAGTTTGGTATATAAGGATGCATAACCTAGAGCTTTATCATTTTGTCCTTCATTTAGAGAGATCTGAAGAGTTTGATTGGAGTTAAAAGATATGTTTGTTGGACTTTTGGGTAGTGACCCTAATCCCCATGCTTGGGGGATGGCAACCTTATTTTCTAATAATTAAAGGCAGAACATTGTCTATGCCAATAAGAAATCTAATTAAAGGAACATTTAGAGATTCAATAATGAGTTATTATGTTTTCTGTAATAAGCACCCATACTTATTGTCAAATCACCATTGCAGTTTGATGTTTATTTCTTACTCAATCAGCCATCAGCCATCATTTTGAAACTTGTAATTTGCTTATGCCATATCATCACAGCTGCTTTTTATTCTGTAGTTGAATTTTACTTTCACCCTGCTCTTGATTATGTATTTAGGGTGGACACCTGGCTAAAGTGATACTCACATTATATATATATATTTGGTTAAGGAAGCAATAATCTATGTCTCAGTTTCCTCTTGATATTTGAAAGTTGTTCGACTGCAAAAGTTCATTTGCACAATTTTACTAGATGGCTTGGATTGCTTATATATGGAGGATTTGATTTAGGGACCTAATCTAGACTGTGTAGTGTAAAGATGTGATCATACTGAGGCAGGACAAGCTTATGTGTGCAATGTTTTAAGGAGACATTTTGTTGCTTTTACAGCTTCTGTGATTTGGCTTCCCAAATTAATAGAAAGAAAATATGATTGATTCCCGTGCTGATGTAAACCATGTTATATGGACTCGGGTATGAGCATCAGGTGTGGGTAAATGTCCAAGCATTGGATCTTTCTAAACCTAAATCCTAGGATATTGGAATATGCATCCCAAAGTTGGGTATGGGTACGGGTACATGTTTTAAATAATTATATATATTGCATATTGTATAATTTTTTAAAATAAGATGTTATGAATTATTTAGAAATGTACTTCAAATTAAATGGAATTTAGGGATAATTTGAAATTTATCTCCCAGCCGCGTGAGAAACTAGAAATGTTTCTATACTAGAAAATGTGAGCATCTTTTTCTTCAGATATCATATAAATTAGAAGATCCAAATGTCTAAATTGGGTGTGGGTTTCAGACTCATCCCACATTTGTAACCTTGTCATATCCAGCAAGCACGGGTACATTGGAGGAAATAGAAGAGTTTGTAGTTCAGGATGTAAACTACTACTAAACCTCTTGTCAGGATATTGGAAGTGGATCTAATGGTGCCTTCTTTTTATTGTTTAATTTTCTCCTCATATAGTACTAACTGCATTGTAAATTAGATAGAGCAACATTTCCCAAAATAGAATTTATGAATAATTTTTTTATATAAATAATGTGATAGTGATATTTTTATAATTTGACCCATAAATGATAATGAATGTTTTGACTCAAAACAAATGACTAGTATATGATATTCTGTATTTTTTTTTTAATTCATATTATCTATCTATACGTTTCGAGGACGCATGAAAAAAAACTTATACTTCAATTTTTTTTTTTTTATAAATAAAGTGTAATTTTTGACTCTTTGGTGAGCTAAGATACTTATTTGAAAAGGCTAAATGTGTTGAAAATTTAGTGAGTGAGAGCTATGTTACACGGACTCTTCAAAATAAATCAAATACCCGTGTTGGACACCCGACACTTGAACAAGGGTATGAAATATGTGTAGGATACTTTTCAACGGATACTTCTTATATAATTGTATATAACACTATTATTATATATACATATTGTTGTATAATTGTTATAAATGTCATTTTGACACTGAAAGTTACATATAGTACCATTTTATCTCACATACTAGATTAAAAATATAAAAATATGACATTTTTTGCTGAGTCCGCATTAAATTTATGATTTTATGAGTCCGACCTCTAGATACATACCCGCACCCGACACCTGTACCCGAGTCCATGTAACATAGAGTGAGAGTCAACTTTGTAAAAATTGACTTACGGAGATTTTAAAGGTAAGTCATTTTTGGGAAAGTGATGGAAAAATATTTTCCTCAAAAAATATCTTACTTACTTTTTCTTCAACCAAACGAGGGAAAATAAGTAAATTATTTTTGACAAAAACATTTAATGTCAAAACAAACGGAGCCTTAATGATCACATTTTTATTGTCTTCGTAAGTCCTGCAATAAGACTAAGGTCTCCATGGTCGAACTGTGAGAGATTCTAGTTTGCACTTTAGCCGATGAGGTAGGAGTCTCCTTCCAAGTCCAAGTTTGTCAAGTATTGTCTTCTTGAGGGAAGCTCAATGCATCTACCTCATTATGGCTAGCATTTTGGACCTTTTGGCCATTTATTATGGTTAACATCACCTTGATTTTGCAATCATATTCCCCTTAAACATTTTCAAACCAACTTATCATATTGTTTGTGCATTGGTTCAATCATAACTTGCTACATGAACTAGAATGCCAAACATACTAGGTAAACATGTCAAGGACTCTGTATGGGTGTTCACACACCCAGTGATAGTTGTTGATTCCATTGCTCCACACATTATATTTAGTCCAAAAAGGTCACATAAGAATATCATATTCATGCGCCATGCTTTGTTAGCACATTCACCGGCTAAGGGTTGCTTATTCTTGGCGCACATGAATGTTGTTGCTCAGTTCCATCATGTGTTTTGGGCCACACTCCCCTTTATTGTCAGTTCAAAGTCCTGGTCACATCCCACCTGTTTTTTTTTCTTGTTTCTTCACTTTCAGACTTAGGTTAGGTACTTTTGTCCACCTCTCTATTTCTTTCTCTGTTGTTTATTTTCGACAAAAATAAAAAACCTCACAAAAGTGGCAGACTCCCATAACTTCTGCTTGTATACAATATGTGGCACCACCAATTTCCTTTGCATTGGAGAATTTATGAATAAAATGTGGTCATACTTGCATTTTGAATGTATTGGTACATGTTGCAACTTCATTATGGCTTTCAAGATTGAAGTATTCTTATGCTAGTGCTATCAAGTTTTTATTTAAATCCAGTTTGGTTCCTTGTACATTTCCTTAAACTCATTGAAGATACTGCATTGCTGATATGTCACAGTACAAGAGTGGAAAGGTATGTGGTAAGGCATGATATAAGAATAAGATTTCCATTATATGCTTTCTTAATTGTTGACAATGACTAATACTCCACCTTATCTGATGCTCAGAAATTTGCTCTTACTATGCTCTTATTTTCTGTGGTAAATAAACCTTACTTAAATACTGACATATATGCTTGGATTGAAAGGTCAGAAAATGATGTTGTTTGGGTTATATACTGGATATTGGCTGGCCTTTTTTGATCAGCAACAAAGAAATAATAATGTTATCACAGTATACCTTTTCAACACATTTAGCATTTTCAAATAAATATATTAGTTCACTAAAAAGTCATAAATGACACTTTATTGAATCAAAATTTCTCTTTTAGGCAATAAAATGTTTTTATTTCAAGTGTCAACCAAACGCCGGAAAACAAAATAAAAAATATTTTTTCTACGTAAAATAAATTTACAAGTTTTTTTTTATTACTTAGAAACAAGCGGAGCCTAAAAGAATTTTTTTTTTATAAATAAAGTGTAATTTTTGACTCTTTGGTGAGCTAAGATACTTATTTGAAAAGGCTAAATGTGTTGAAAATTTAGTGAGTGAGAGCTATGTTACACGGACTCTTCAAAATAAATCAAATACCCGTGTTGGACACCCGACACTTGAACAAGGGTATGAAATATGTGTAGGATACTATCATATTCTATACATGCCACTATCTACCACCAACACCACTATCATATTCTATACATGCCACTATCTACAACCAACACCACTATCATATTATATGCATGAACACAATTTCCAGCATGAATTAATCTAGTATGTAATCATATATGCAATAGTAACTAGTAGCATGTAATTCCTCATTTTTTATTTTAATATTTTTTAATTTTTTTAATATTGTAGGCATGCATTGGAAAAAGGTGTGAAAGAAAAGAAATTCAAATGCAAACAGTGGACAAACCCTGTACATATTCCAATACACAGACACCAAACCAAAATTGTGGCCAAGGTTTATTCTAACATAGAGAAATATGTGGTTTATAAAAATAGACCAAAACAAAACTAATCATGAAAACAATGAACTTATCTATTTTCTACAAACAAATCGTAAGCCTATTTCTATAATCAATACACAACTATGCAAATGTCAATGTAACATCTAGTAACCCCGAAAAGCCAAAAAAAAAATAGTGCACTAATTTTCCAAAAATTACCAATTCTAAAAATATGCAAAGTAGGTATATAAAAGTATTTTCTATTTGTTTTCAATACAAACCGTGGGTACACCAACTTGTGTAGTAGACTAAATTTGACTTTCAAGCAATAATAACATGGCAGCATATACAATCAAGAATATGTTTGGCACACCAAATATATGAATTGAAAGAAATTGAAATACACTGATAATAACACAGCAGCAAGCATAAATATTAATTATGATTAAACTGTATACATCTATCATGTGAATCTATTTGGCCACTTTCATGGGAAAATATAAAGATCTGTTTTAAGCTTGTTGTCTAAATTGTGAAATTAAATACATATATTCACGAATACATTAAAATTATATACCAAAAACACATACTGAGAATTACAACTAAATTACAACAAAAATACCCAATAGATTAAAATGGTAAATAAAGCAAACCGAAACCTGAACGGTAGCAGTTACCTTAAACGAGATTTTCGCTGCCTCACGGGTCGAGTGCTTGAGGAATTCCAGCTTCTGTCTCCCAAGATACGACAGTCAAAAACCAACTATGACAGAAGCACTCTCTGTCTAGCTTAGTGAACAAAACCGGTGGCAGCACTCTTTCATTATAGAAACTTTCTAGCAAATTGACTTGTAAAATGGAAGTAAAAATTTCTGTGTTGAGACTAGACAAGAGGATCTCAATTTATACATGCATAGGAGAGAGAGGAGGAGCCTCCTGCCTTTATGGCTAGTCACTAATGCACCATTAACCTCTACAATATTGCAAGAGTTACAAACATATTATACACACTAATTCTACTACCTCTTTTATGAAGCTAATTTCAAGAGGCAATTTCTCATTCAATTGTCAATGATTTTTTACCATTCTTTTTGTGGTGTAAAGATCTTATTGCAAAGTATCTAGACTCACTTGGACCCAACACAATAGATGGCTGGGGGCCCACTTTAATATTTAATTAAAGTCACCAAAAACCTATTTTTTCCAACCAGTTTCACACATCTTTCTCTTTTCCCTTTTCAAATTCCTCCCCAAATCCCCCAACAAACATAGCGTTAAGGTTTAATGTACCCCGTGAAGTTTATTTTTCAATTCAACACTGATTGATAATTCTAATATGAGTTTGTCAAAATCGCTCAAATTGAAAAATAAGGAGCTAACAGTCGCGGTCAATATGGATGACAACCGCAGTAAACAAGTATTGCACCGGTCATTCCGGTGATCATCCGGGAGGTCAACTGACAAGCACAAATTCGAGTTTTCAAGCAAACTCAAATTTGAGTTACCAATCATTTTTCTTTTCAATTATACTAACCTCTTCTGAGATTACAAAATCCTTTCATGAAATTTTTTAAAATGACAAAAATTAAGGGAAATAATTTTTTATTACAAATTGCCTTTTCTATTATTTTATCGTAAAAAATACCGACATCACTAGGCAATTATATTTTTAATTTTATCCTTTAAAATTGTGTTCAATTACAAAGAAATAAATAAAATATAATTTTCTTTTTTTCTTTTTGCTATGCCTACAATTATTGATTGTATATATGCACCATCTTTATTCAACCCCTAGCATCGTAAATATACATATATATATATATTGACATCATTAAATATTTTAATTATATTTCTAATTTTATACTTTAAAATTGTGTCCAATTACAAAGAAATAAAAAAAAACAACAATGATTCATCCCACTAAAAACATCACCACTAATAGCACTAATACATTAAAAAAGTAAAAAAAAAAAAAAAACACAACTTCAAGACCAAAACATCACATCATTAATGACGGGACCCACTGCCACCTAATTTCCCAAGCATTTTCACAACCCAATCTCGTGGTATAAAGGTAAAAATATAATTTCATCTTCATTTTGTAAAAATAGCAAAATCACATTTTATATAATGAGAATTTTTACATAATTTCATGAATTTAATCCTAACTAACCAATACCACCACATTAGTAAAGGAACAAACACAATTTACCTTGCGTTTATAACCGCAAATAATAATTTTCTTCTTTCAAAATTCTATGTACAATGACACTTCTAAGCACTACAAGAAACCCACTCAAGAAGGGGGGAAAGAATTGCATTATGACAATGAACTTCTGCCTCTTTATAAGATTTCCTTCTCAGATTTGAAATCTTTTCATGATCAAAACACAGTTGTCATCTGGGTCTTATTCGAAAAACTCGATTGTGCCATATTGAGTGAAGAATCATATGAAAGATATCATAATTCACAGGCCTGGTATGCCAAAGAAAATGTTGTTGTACCTTCTTAACACTCTGATGCATCTCAAGATACCTCTTCTCTGGGATTGAGAGGAGTATATTCTTCAAATTTGGGATTTCCTTCTCTGGGACAAAAACAGCAAAGGATTCCCAGTTCAAAATCTCAAACAAAGGGGGTACAAAATTATCAGATATAATCACTGGAACACACTCATAGAAGATGGATTCCACCACTCGGGGACTGCTGACTTCATAACCTTTAGGACATATGCAGTACTTGCTACTCTTCATGTATTGGACATAGTTCATTTGACCCTTCACTCTGCGCATTCGACCAACAATTTTCATGTCAGGATCTTTGTTCCAATACTGCAACAAAATAGGACGGAGATAACCATGCATCCTTCCAGCAAAGAAAGCAAGGATTTGTCGTTGGGGAGGAGGATGGCCTCCAAGTTCTTTCAGGGGATTTTGAGATGAGCGCACGTTAGATGCTGGAAGAGACACATCCTTGCCAAATTTGAAGCCTTCTTTGACATTAGAATTGCAAAGAGCTCTTATGCAATGAGCCATATGTTGCTTGGTTTCATATGGAGCCTGGTGGGGAAACAATGTTTAATATTGGTAAATCTTCAAATCAACATCTAAACCAAGTATATTCCTACATTTTGAAATGAAGCTCTACCTGTAACGACAGACTTGCTCTAGTGGTATGAAGAACAAACTATTTCGAACAGTGCATAAATTAGAAGGGAATACTAAATAGTATGTTTGGAGATAGCTCCATAGCTACAATTAGAATCTTGGAAAGCACTAGGCAAAAGGAAAGGAAAGGAAAAAAATGCTTTAAAACAGCCTTTATTTTTAGTATTTTCAATAATTTTCCTTTATTTTTTCCAGGTGGAACGTATCATAAGTACCGTTATAGGATGTAAATCAAAAGGAAATGTACAGAGTAGTACCCAGTCATGGCAAGCAACAAGAAAATGATCAGCTCCATCAGTTCTGTTCCAGAAATTGTATCTTGCCACAATCACGTCGAGGTAGTTCTTCAGATACTGAACCAGGTTCTCGTAACTGTCAGAATTAGGTTCGTATAAGGTCACCTCAAGCATTCGAGAACTGAAAGGTAGATAAAATAGGTGGGCTTTTGTTGGGTTTGTAGTAACAAATTGTTTGCTTGCTTGCAACTGCTTCATGAACCAACCCTCAGCACCGTATATTCCCTTGAGCACTGGCTCATGGAAAATGGGTCTCTCTCCCTCCTTGTAGACGTAAACCTTGAGCATCTGTTCCATTAACTCATAACTCCTGCAAATTTAATGATTTTGAAAAAACTTGAGTGCCTATTAAACATGAAAGATCCTCTTTTTATAATGAAAATGGACACAAGCAATTAAAACCTCAAAAATAGAAGTTCAATAATACAACCTCCGTAAGGAGCTGAACCTCAGCTCATCTATAAAGTTCCAAGTGCAGAAACCTTCTTAATAGAAGATTAAAGAACTTCCCCCCACCCTATGTTACCCTAGAGTTTATATTGACAATACTAAAATTAATTCTTATAAAGAAAATTCCCAAACTTGACAAAGCATCTCCAAAACCTAAACAAAGCCTTGTTGAAATTCTCACAACCAAATATCGTTTTATTCCAAAAATAATTCAATTAAATCCTAAGCAGTATATGAATAGAGGATTGCAATATCAATGGCCAACATGACTGAATGCACTGTCCTCTTCTGACATATATGAGTTCAAATATGCAAAAGAGAGGGGATTATTGTTCCTGCCATTTTGACTGTGAAAATAGTTCATCCTTATATATTAAGATAGCAGTATCATAACCCTTGAGCTGTTTGCTTTTGTTATTTTTGTCCACCAATCAAAAAAGAGAAATTTTTTGCATTTCAAAGACACATGTTTATCATTTTTTCACAAATAAGCTTTCACCATCTTAAACTGTTCATACATTAAAAACTTGGATGTGGTGGTATTGGGTAAATGGGCATGTTTGGGTGAATGTAATGCATGTTAGAGGTCGTGAGCTTCTAAGATAGCCATCAATAACGCTTGGATCATACATGTCACAAAAGGAATAATCATGCTCAACATGCTTACTTTTTAAACATGGTAACATTCCGATAGAGGGGAGCATAAAGTGCAGTATCATTTTCGATGACATGTTCATTTTCAATCTGTAGTTTTGCATTCAGTAATTCCTGGTCAACTGCAGAAGACCATCGCGGTTTCTGCAAATGAATCAGGAAAAAAAATTAAGTTAAAAAAGCCTCCTATATAGTGAACTCAATCTTCTCTAACCAATTTGAAATAGAAGAGATGCACATACCATTGACAAAGATGAAGCCTGACTCTGAAGCAACAAATCATTCATCTCAGATATTGATACCACTGTTGTTGTTGGCCTCTCGGACGTTTCATTCACAGCTGGAACAATAGTCTTGGAAGAACTATTATCAATTTGCAATTCCCCAGATTTTTCATCCCTGGGAAGTGTATTGCCTATGTCTTTTTCCACTGAAGATGTGTTGGGATAAACAGACATCATGGGACTTTGTGAATTCGTATCCACATTTGTTTGAGTGTCTAAGTTGGGTGATGAAATTGTTGGTGGTAAAGCAATTGAAGGGGTTGCTGGAGTGGCAATGCCTAAAGAAGAATTATCTGTAATTGCTATGTCCACTGTTGAATTGTGGCTAAGCTCTATAGAATCATTCTTGGTCATGTTAACAACACTAAGACAAGTATCTGTTTCAGTAGAGTTTGACCCATTAAAAGATTTCATATTACCAAATATTTTGGGGTTAGCAGATGAATTTCCGGTTGAGAAGGTTCCATTTCCCAATACTTGGGGCTTTCTGAAAGAATATATAGACACTAACACACTGTTATATGGAAATTCAAAGTGCTGCACTATTAGAACGACGGCGAACATCATCCCAATTAGCCACACAAGTCTCCTGGCTTCCACCGGGCATAAATGTCGTAATTCATGACCCATATCTAGATTAATTAGTGGGCAAAACTCTGTTGACCTCTACTACCCCTGCAGAGTTTCCAAATCCAAAAACCCAATCTCTAGTTTTCAGAATGTGTAAGGTTATTTCATCTGGTTCTCAAATACATTGGAAAGAAACTAATAAATGGAAATTCATAAGACATGGATTATTAGTTCAGCTATCAGTGTCATGTGCAAATTCAAACTTCTAGGAACACTCTATTCTCTCAACAGCCATAAAAATTAAATCATAAATTGATTGTCAATGGAAAACTCAAAATCAGGAATGGGTAAGAACAACTTACTTAGTCATGAATACTATTACTAAACATATATTTTCTAACAAAGCAAAAACAAAAAGACAGTTAGTTCTCAGACTACACAACAGGAATATGAATATTCAAATGCTACCGATTGATAACGAATTGAAATTAGCTGAAAAACACAGATAAACTGCTAGTGACGACGATGATTCTTCAACTATGAGAGAGAGAGAGAGAGAGAGAGAGAGAGAGTGAAGGGGAAGCGTAAGGAAAACACAGAGATCTCAACTTCTTTGCTGTGAGGAGCTTCTTGAGATTTCCAAGCATTCTTTGCTGCCTTTCTTACAACTCTAAACTTTGTTTGTTTTAGAAAGTCGAGGAACTCAGAACAACTTTACCAAATTATTAGAAATTGACGCAAACACCCTTCAGTTAATATATATATATATATATATATGGGGGCAAATTATATTTACTCCCTCGAAATTTAACTAAATTATAGATATTCTTGAGGTTTTAGAAATTATAGATATCCCTTGAGATTTATATTTTCACAACAAATTGTCCTCTAAGGTTTATATTTTCATAATAATTTGCCTCCTAATTTGTTATGCAAATAATACCTTCAGGGGTATTTATAATTTCTTAAACCTCGGGAAAATATCTGTAATTTTACTAAATCTCAAGACGTGTATATAATTTACCCTATTTATAATAAATAAATAAACAAGTCGTATCAAAATCAATTTTAAATTTTTATGAATCTTAAGTTTTTTATTTATTTCAATTCAAACGATTTGTCTATTTTACTTAACTACAATTGGTGAAAAAAATTAATATTTTACTCATTAAATTAATTAAATGGGTATTTTAGACATCTTATGTTTAATAAATAAATTATTTATTTTTTTATCAATTTTACCCAACAAAATAGGTAAATAGTATAGACCGAAAACATATAAAAGATTAAGATCTAAATTGATAAAATTAAAAATTCATTTATTTTGTTACCAGGCTAAAACATTAGATTTTTTTTTTTTTATATATAGTTCTCTTGTTTTATGTATTTATTTTTATTTGTTTCTGATTTAGCAAATCTAAAGGTTTTTTCTTTTTTTTTCTTTTATCCCATCAGATAAAAAGGAAAGAAATCAGGGCATTTAATGGTTAAATACATATCTATATGTTTGTTTAGATAAATTATATTCACCTGTATTTGAAAAAATTACAGTTAATTTTATATTTTTGAAATAATTATAGTAGCCTCTCATTTAGAATGATTAAAACGATCAGAACTAATGTTAACAGTAGTTAGACACTAAAATAAATATATATTTTAATTAAAAAATATAATATTAATTTTTTTATTCATACAATTAATAAATTACTGATAAAAAAATACTTCAACGTTATATGAATTAAAATCTTAAAAAAAATAAGTATAATTATGTCAAAATTGTAAGACTAACTTTATATTCTTCAAAATTCAGAAAAAATAAGTGTAATATAGATCAGATATATGACAAACAATATATGAAATGATATTATATACAAATAGCAAGAAAAATAAAGAAAAGTTGACCTTTGATTAGAGGCACAATTTCGTTGTCATAAAACTTATAGTCTCTTCATACGAAGGCAGCTCCAACATTCAACCCAAATCACTGTCATGTTTTCCACCATTCGCGCATATGAAGAGGCGTCTATGATGAAAATTACCCAAAACAATACATCCAAGTAAGAAAATCAAAGATGGAAGAGAGAGATAAAATCTGTGCTATTTTCTGGTGTAGAAAAAGTGAGATCTCATGGCCTCTGTTCGTGAAAAGCCACATCTCTTGGTTGAGGGCTGATTCTCATCAAATAAAACTCTTGGCCAAAACAGATGCATTTGACTTATAACCATTAAGAATAAAATATTAGAAATAAATAAACAAAGAAAACATTTTTGAAAATAACACCGCTACGTCTATTAAATTTATTTAACTTGAATTCGCTTAAAGGTGTCTCTTTCCGGGACGTGTCTCTCGTGCATGAAGTAACAGAGTCGAGAAATTAAGTTAGAGGGACGTTTATTAATTATAATTTTTTATTTAAAAAAAAAAACTCATAATCAATATTAAGATAATAATAATTTATGAGTTAAATTTAAGTATAAAAAATTAAATATTCATTATTAATACTAGTAAATTAAAATTTTATAATAGTGTGAAATGACTCAATACAGAATACTGATGTAAGTTTGTAATTTTAATTCAAAAAATTATGGATCAAAATTCTTAATTTTAAAAAATAAAACACATCATTTTATGGCACAAATTACTATAAAATTTGTTTAATTTTTATTTGATAGAAAAATATTAGAGAGGTGATATTGCTTATAAATAATGTGTTTTTAATAAAAATTATTAAACAGTCTTAAAGCACTATACGACGTTGCTTACGGAATACTCATAACATGAGAAACCACAACTATCACTAAGTGATTTGTCATTGTCTCATAACTACCTGAAATAATGAGTTTATTATATCTGATTCATAAGATTTTTTGCTACAGTATTAGTTTAAATTATTATATAAATAATATCACGTAATATTTTCAAAGTATCAAATAATTACGTATTGTGAGCAATATAAAAAAATTCTTAGCCAAAAAGCATGTTAAGCCTCCGTTTGGGAAGTGGGTTGGCTTTTTGACTTTTTGACTTTTTTAGCCTGGGCTATTTTAGCCTGTTTTGGGAAGGACTTTTTGACTTTTTTAGCTTTTTTTGTGAGAGAGAATTCTAATGATTATGAGTTAGATTTGATGTTTTATTTTTTGTGGCTAAAATAGCCTATTTTATTTTTTGTGACTATTTTAACCAAAAAAGCCTGATTTTTTTCTCCCAAACGGAGCCTAAAAAAGAAAACACATTTTACAAATGACCAAAAACAAATCCAAAAAAACATAAAATCAAAATTGAGGGGACACGTGACCCGGCCTTCTTTGGCTCCGTCTCTGGCCAGCAAAGCATTATTTATGTTTTTTCTTTTTTTGTTTATTCTTTGCCTTTTTTATTTTTTAATTCAATAAATGTTGGTAAAAATATTAGAAAAAATTATATTTTATTGATAAATAATGTAAAAAAAAGATATACAAATAGATCAGGCTAAGACACAAATATCTCATTTTCTTTAAAGAGATCAAGTCCACTGCGGTAAGAAGAATCCAAATACCGATGCAGCAGTCACAAAATTATGACTTGTCTCCTCCAGGATACAATAGTCCGACCACTTGTCGTATGGTTCAGGCTAACTCTACACAAGATGGTGAACCCAAAACTCCACCAAGAAAAACACCATTCTTTGCTAGTAATCTCTCAAGGATAGAAAAATAATTGGTGTGTTGGTATGTAAAAAAATAGATGAGAGGAACTATTTTTAGGCCACTAAAACTTTACAAAATACACCAAAAATTAATAATGACCATGAACCTAGAGAAAATTGAGAGTCTTCAAAAAATTAACTCACCACTAAGTCCATGAACCTAATTAATCTCTATTCATGAACAAGACAAAAGGTCACCAAAACAATGAATCTCCATTCATGAACAAGATGAGATTCATGAGCAAGACAAAAGAAGATTCATGAACAAAATATATATAAATAAATAAAAGATATTAAAATGGTCCAACAATCCCCCACTCATTTTAATATCAACAAGGACAAGAGAGATTACCAAACAAAGATAAACTAGTATGCATCATGAAGGTGTACTCTTCATTGAACCTTCATTAGTGAAACAGTAACCTCTACTCCAGAGTTAGTAGTGGTCTCAGACTTGAATTATGACTTCTTAGGGGAAATAAAATATTATTGCTTACACATAATAATTCAGGTGTTAACATGAACTTTTAATAGTCAGCACATTACGGCCTTGTGCTTATCCCAGTTTTTATGAGCATATTTGAGAATAAGCCTTGCCCTTATAGAAAGCGGCCCCACTTTCATGGTCACATAAGTGGAATCTATCAAGGATGTTCCTGTAATTTACACACCCTACTCAACAAGAGCTACAGAATTTCATTAGGAGTATAAAAACTCAACCGTCCAACATTACATGACAAATGCACTTACATCATAGGGATGGACAACAAAATATTAAGGAGTGCATTTTTTACAACCACCATATGATTCGTTCTTCGCATTGAACCTAGTTACAGGATCTCTGGTCCCCAAGTTGGGTATCCTCATACATGGTTTATGATTTTATAGACTTCAAACTCATCCCCCTCGATATATTCCAGACCCTATCTCTTGCCAAGGTCTTAGTTAATAGATCCGCAAGATTATCACAAGATCTTACATAATTCACAATTATAATGCCATTACTCAAATAGAATCTCACATTACTGTGTTTCCTTCGAATAAGTCTGGATTTACCATTATAAAAATGGTTGTTCACTTTACCAATAGCAGCAGTGCTATCATAACGAATTAACATGGGAGGAATTGGTTTTTCCCAAAAAGAGATTTCATGTAACAAATCTCTCAACCAATTCGCTTCCTCACATGCTGAAGCTAATACTATAAGCTCAGCTTCCATAGTAGAATTAGCAATTATAGTCTATTTTTTAGACTTCTAACATATAGCACCACCACCCAAGATAAAAATAAAAACTCCGAGGTAGAGAGAGAATCACCTAACAAAGTGTTCAAATCGGCATCACTATATCCCTCAAGTACCACAGGATACTTGTTATAAAACAAACCATAATTTTTGGTACCAGATAAATATCTCATAATTCTTCCCATGGCTAGCCAATGATCTCGACTTGGCTTGCTAGTAAACCTGCTAAGTACTCCAACAACATATGTAATGTCAGGTCTAGTACAGTCAGTAGTATATCTCAAACTACCAATCATGCTAGCATATTCCTTTTGATTAATCACTTTTTTTTCATTTGTTACAACAAATAAATATGTGCATGCATCAAAAGGAGTAGTAACATGTTTACAGTCTAGAAAGTTATATTTCTTTAAAATTTTCTCAACATAATGTGATTGATCAAGAAAAATGCCATCATTAGTCTTGGTAATTTTAATTCCCAAAATAAAATTGGCTTCACCAAGATCTTTTATATCAAAGTGGCTATTAAGCATATTTTTAATCTTATTTATAATATGCAAATTAGAGTCAAAGATAAGTAGATCATCCACATATAGGCTAATTATCACATGTGCATTCTCACAAGTTTTATAATATATGCACTTATCACATTCATTAGTCTTATAGCCATCCTCAAGCATGCAAGAATCAAATTTCTCATGCCACTATTTAGGAGCTTGTTTTAAACCATAAAGGGATTTAGTTAACTTACACACCTTGTTTTCTTGGCCAGGCTCCACAAAACCTTCGAATTGGTCCATGTAAATCTCCTCATCTAGATCTCTATTTAAAAATACTGTTTTTACATCCATTTGATGAATTTTTAAATCATAAATTGCAATCACTACTATCAATAGTCTAATGGATGTAACTCTAGTAACCAGAGAAAATGTATCAAAGAAATCAAGATTAACATGTTGTTTAAAACCTTTAGCGACAAGCCTTACTTTATATTTATCTATAATTCCATCCTGTTTAAGCTTTTTATGAAGGACCCATTTACACCCAATAGGTTTACAACCTGGAGGTAAATCCACTAGCTTCCATGTTTTATTTGAAAGTAGTGAATCTATCTCATCATTTACAGTCTCTCTCTAGAAAATAGCATCAGATGATGATAAAGCTTCTTACATCGTAAGAGAAATTTCTTCCACATTGTAAAAATAATAGTCGGGGCCAAAATCTTTTTCAACTCTAGCTCGTTTACTCCTCCTTGGTTGGATTTGAGAATTTTCTTATTCTTGAAAAACTTGAGATGGAATAGAACAGCTAGGCATGGATAAAATATTTTCATAAATTATTTGACCCCTACTATTTCTAGATTTGAAAGGAAATTTATTTTCATGAAAAATAGCATCACCTGATTCAAAAATAATATTATTTTCTATATCAAAAAATATATAAGTTGTACTATGCAACGCATACCCAAGAAAAGCACAAGTGGTAGCTCGTTCACCCAATTTAGGTCGTTTAGGATTTGTAAGCCTCACAAAAGCTAAACAACCCCAAACCTTCAAATAACTTAGATTTGGTTTATGCCCCCGCTACAACTTAAAAGGTACAATTTTAGTCTTTTTGTGTGGCACTTTATTTATCACATGGCAAGCTGACAAAATAGCCTCACCCCAAAGATTTAAGCGAGCACCTGAATCAATAAGCATAACATTCGTCAAATGAATTAACATTATATTTTTTCTTTCAGCTATGCCATTAGATGGGAAATTATTGAGTAATCTGGGAACTCCAGGTCATCATCTTATGTGGTGCTCCACACCACATACTCCATTTTGCCATGGTGTCAGTAGGTCCCATCACATTAACAACTTAGTAACTCTTAAAAATAGATGTAAAGTTTGTTAACCTCTAAGAGCATCTCCAGTGCTTTGGTGAAATGCTTCGCCTGCACTCAGTTTGGTACCATTTTTGCTGAATTCTGGATTTGATATCGATTTGGTGAAACCTTTGGAGCTTAAAAAAGTGACTTTTTCACCAAATTTTAAATTTGATGCCAGGTTTGGTTCACCGTTGGAGATGGTCTAAACAAGAAAAAAAACAAAAGTGGAAATCGTGGGAACGAAGTTAGGTGGAGAATCTCAACAAATATTTTAACCCCCACAAATTAATAAAAATATAAAACAAAAGTCAAACCCTAAAAACCTAGTTCCATACTCTTTGCAAATTCATCATTGCCGAAAAATCAAAAAAGAGGAGAAAGGCAATGGTCCTATCCTATTTTGTAACATTATGCTGAATGACAAAGTGATGAATGATGAAGATTTTCGAATCAAAGAAGGTATATTTTATTAATTTTTAAAAAAATAATCATGATTTATGGCATATTTTGTGATATGAGATTCGATAATTATTTAGATAGTTGTAAGATGGCTTATATTGATATGATGATATTTATGCTTCCTTTGTTTGATTTCAAATATTATTTTTAAGATGATTTTTTTGTTTGTTTTTAATGAAATTTTTTACACGATAATCATTTTTTTTTGTATTTTTTAAATACATTCTAAATGTAAAAAATAAAATAAATTGATTAAAATATAAAAAAAAATTATTAAAAATAAATAAAAATAAACTACGTTACTCTATTTTATTTTGAATTTTTTATTTTTTGTCATGTTGTCTATAGTGAATTATATATATATATATATATTAGTTAATTTTTTTTTTTTACTTTTTAGATGTATATAATCTTGATGTATCTAAAAGTAAACAAAAAATTGACTAAAATATAAAAAAAAAAAAGTATAGAAGAACTTTAGATAGTTTGGAAGAACTTATATTATATTAATATGATTTTAGTTTTCAGTAATATTATTTGTGTCTAGCTTATAAGAATTTTGCATTTGAGTGTAATTTTTTAAAATAATATTAAGTGTTAAGACAGTATCACGTAACAATAGTACTCCCCATCAATCATAATTATTAATTTTTTATGTTGTCTTGTCAAATATTAATATAAATTAATGAAACCTTATGAATCAAAATGGTAAAAGGCACCATCTTGGCCATACTGTCCCAACATGAAAAAATTGCTCATGATTTAGGCCTTAAATCAGGCATATTTTTTATAGTTGTAATAAAAATACGATTGTAGTTTCTAACATTTAATATAGAAATTATTGCAGAAATTAACACTTCTAATGATGCTAAAAAAGGTGAACGTGACTGCATGTTTGTTGCAAGGTAAGAAAATAGTGATGGCAATTTGTTAGGTAAGGTGGTATGTAGTGAAGACGAAGCATATGCTTTATATAATAATTATGCATTACAAATGGGTTTTAGTATACTGAAAGGAAAGCCAAGATATTATAGTGGATCAAAGAACATTAGGCAACGTGAATTTTTATGTTGTAAAGAGGGTTTTAAAGTAGACGAAGACCCTTTTGAAGAGAAAAAATTGAATAAGCTGGAGACTAGAACTGGTTGCAAAGCATTTGTTCGTTTAACTGTTGAAGATGGAATTTGGAAGGTTACTACCTTCAATCCTGAACATAATCATGAACTTGCATTACAATCAGAGCGACATTTGCAAAGATTTGCTCGTCACATTTCAAAACCGAAGGCAGATGTGATTGATTCTATGGTAAATGCAGGTATAAGCACAAAGAATGCTTATTCATATCTAAGAGAAGAAGTTGGAGGCAATGAGAATGTGGGTTTTACCAAAAGGGATTGCTATAATTATGTGAACAAGCAAAAGATGACGATGATTAGTGTTGGAGATGCTCAAAGCCTATTGAATCATTTTAAGAAGAAACATACAGAAGATCCGATGTTCTTTTTCATAGTTCAAGTAGATCAAAAAAATCGCATGACTAATTTTTTCTGGAGAGATAGGAGATCAAGGGTTAATTATGATTGCTTTGGAGATGTGGTTGTTTTTTATACCACCTATCACACCAATAAGTATAATTTGATTTGTGCTCCATTTGTTGGTGTTAACCACCATTGGCAAAATGTGATGTTTGGTTGTGCTTTCCTTTTGGATGAAACCACTGATTCATTTATATGGTTGTTTAAATCATTTTTAGAATCAATGGGGAATCGATCTCCAATTACAATTTTTACTGACCAAGATAAAGCCATGTCTAATGCTATTCAAGTAGTGTTTCCAAATACACATCATCGACTATGTTTGTGGCATATTTTGAAAAATGCTCCTTCTCATTTGGGGGAATTAAATACTAGCACAGAGTTCAAGTACCTTTTCAACAAGTGCAAAAAATATTGTGATTCTACACTAGAATTTCAACAAACTTGGGATAACGTGATACAAAAGTTTAGTTTGGAGAGTCATCGATGGCTTAATATGATGTACAAGATTCGACACAAGTGGAGCACTGCATGCACTAAGGATAGCTTCACTGCTGAATTTAAAGCTTCCTCAAGGAGTGAAAGTACAAATAATGTTTTGAATAACATAGCAGGTAAAACAACTAGCCTAACTAACTTTGTTATTGAATATGACAATTTAGTGGCAGGAATAACATAGCAGGTAAAACAACTAGCCTAACTAACTTTGTTATTGAATATGACAATTTAGTGGCAGGTATGCGTTCTTCAGAGTTGGATGAAGATTTTGGATGCAAGCAAGGTGCCCCTCAAAAAGTAGTAAAAAAAATGGTATTTTGGGTCATGCAGCTTAAGTTTACACCTGTAAGATATTTAAATTATTTGAAAATGAATTTCTCAATAGTCTTGCAATGGTGTGAAAGCAAGTTGATTGTCAAGATACAGTTGATGTCTTTGAGTTGAAAGAAGAAAATAGTGAAAGGGTACATATTGTTCACTTTGATCATCTCACTAACAACATTTCTTGTTCTTGTAAGAAGTTTGAATCATTAGGAGTTCTTTGTTGTCATGCATTGAGGGTTTTTAGTGTAAAAAATTTGACTGCAATTCCAAGTCAATATATTTTGAAACGTTGGGCAAAAGATGCCAAGAAAGGGATTATGGCTTATGAACAACGTACCAATTCCATTGCGAATGCAAAAGAGGCTGAGATCATATGGCGTAATAGTATGATACGTATAGTTAATACAACTATATACAAGAGTCAAGGGAATGATAGCCTTAAGAACATTTGCCAGAAGATACTTATAGAACTTGATGAAAAAATTGAAAGGGAGTTTGAAAGGTTGAGATTGGGTACAGATATGCATATTGAAGAAGATCAAACCGTACAATGTGATACTACTAACATGTCAGTGTTGGATCCCCCACAAGCAAGATCGAAAGGTGTACGAAACACTAGACTTAAAGGGCATTTTGAAAAGCGCAAAACAAAACCGTCCAAGGATGCATCAACTTTGCGTGAGAATCTTTTTCTTTTTTTATTTTTTTTATTCAAGCGTGAGAAACTATTTACTTGCTCAATATGTCACGACCCAACCCCAAGGGCTTAGGGTTGGAATCGCAACTTACTAACTTATTCTTATTCGTAGCAAATTAAGCTGCGCAAGCAGAAATAAAAATAAGTAAACAGAAATTTTACGTCATGTTACTATTTAAGAAAGAGGAAATACATTTTTAGGGCTTTCATTATTTTATTATTCAGTGACCAGCCCCGAATAGAAACAAAATGGAGCAAAAATATATAAAAAAAAAAAGAAAGATAAAATAGTGATTCAACATCAGTCCATGTGCAGGTTCCATTTTGTGGGGTTATGGGTTTCCCTTACATCTCGTCACTTGAAAGGGTAACAGCTATAAGCACACAGCAGAGTGAGAAATATAATATGTCCAGAGTGTAGGGAATACAAAATAACCATGGATAACTGGTTAGCTAAAATATTTGCATAATTTAATTTAAATGACAATTTATTTAACACAGCAAAATATAGAAATCATGTAAATAAATAATTACAACCACGGTATGAAACAGAATAGAGCAGAGGTCATAGAAGTGACAGTCAGAACAGAGGTCAATGGATCCATGACAAACAGAGACCACAAAGTGGTCAAACAGAGGCCAGTGGGTTATTTAAGTCTCCTAAGGCTGGGACTCCGTGGTGATACTTACAAAACATAATTGTTTATAAGGTTATAGTCAAATATATACAAAATTTTAACACAAACATATTCATGGGTTTCCTTTTAAGTAAATAGAGTTTAGAAAGTAACCCACGTAACTGAAATATTTTATAACATAACTTTTATTTATATAACTTAATAAATATAACTTGTATAAAATAAGTTATGATAACTCAAAACATTCGTAAAACATATAATGGTAAATCAAGGTATAATATAACTCAGCTTAATTATAACTCTTAGCCTTGCTTTACTATCAGAACTTCCCTACTAAGTTTCTTCCTCTCGGTTTTTCACTCTTCCTTTCGTTTATTTTCTGTCGTTTGTTTTTTTATTCCTTCTCTTATTTACAACACATTTGCCCCTATTTATACAGCAACCCGAGCCTTGATGTGAGTGCCACGTATCCTCTCTATATGGGGCCATCATTAAGCTAGTAGATTTGAGCCTTAATTGTAGATCAAATTCACAGATTTGGATAAGTTTAAATCTCCTCAATATATATCTATATATACTTGGGCCTTTGTTTTGCTTGGGCCAATATTTGCAAGGGTTTTGCTGGGCCAACACTAGCTTAGACTTTTATTATTTATTTTTGTTTTTCTTTTCTTTTGGGCCGAAGTTCACAACCTTGCTGGGCAACTAGTTTATAACATTTTTTTTTTCATTTTCTTTTCTTTTTTTATTCATTTATTTATTTGTTTTGGTGTTAAGTTATTATTTATTTACTATCTTTAGTTTGACCCAATTAATATTACAATTCCACAAGTGTGTTAATTGCACCCAAATACTAATTCCCAAATAATTTTTTTTATTACTTAATTCTATATTTAATAACCTAATGTCAAATTAGATTTATATTTTTATTTATTTAATAGTCTATCATCACATGCAACCATAATTATATATAACTCTAAATATTTATGTGGTACCTAATTAAACGTTCGGGGTGTCACACAATAAATGTTACATTCCCATCAGCAATAATATTTTTTTAATAAAGTTCTTATGTTGTAAGTTATTTGTGATTTATGCACATACTCAGGAAAATCAAAACAAGTAAAGCAAGGACCATCACATGCCTCACTTGCTGTCACATATGATATAACAATCTTCCAACCACCAAATGGGTCCCCTTATGTAAGACCAGCAGATGCCAACATACATGGTCAATCTCACCCACCATGGGCCATGCATACTCAGGTATTGAATATTTATATTGATCCACAAAATTAAAATATCTAGTATTTATACTTAAAATTATGGTCATAATTAATATAAAGTATGAACTATTTCTATACGTAGGATATGGACTTTGCAAATATTCCTTTTACAACTATGTTGCAAAGTGTCGATGTTGTAAACCAATTTAGTCAGGTAAATATTGACACAATTCATTTATTTATTTGGATGCCTTTATTTGTTAATATTATGATATGCATTTGTTGTTCTCTTAACAAAGGCTTAATTTGTATAATGTTTTTAATATGTTGTTTAGAAAAATGATAGTCACGCAGAGAAGCTACGAAAGTAAGATAGGAGCTATACATAAGGGTGGAAAGACTTACACAAAGCAATATTTGAAGGCGGCTAGTGCTCGAAGAATGATATTTTGGAAGTTTGGTCAAGTGCAAAGAAAGAATTTCAAACAATACTTCAAGGGAAAGACAAAATTTTAATTAAAGTTTTTTTTCTGCATTTATGTAATGGAGCTTTATATATGTACAATGGTTTTTTTATTTCTTTATAAAATTATAGATGAAAAGACTGGTTAAATTTTGGTGAAAAATTTTAGATATATATAGTTAACAAATTGAGATGACATTCATTAATAAAAAAAAAATTAAAAAGTGAAATGTAACTCAATAAACTAACATGATAGGCTTTACATCAGTTGGTAAAGAAAAGTTCTAATTTTTATATGTTGAGTTTCATTCTACAGAGTCTGAGACAGTGTGATATATGATCATTGGTTTGGCTTCACAATGATAGGTTTTGCTTGAATTTGATATAAATTCCATATCTCATTAGCATAATGCATGATGTCTATTCCTTTAATTTTGACAGGCAACTTTGTTGCCATTGCTGCATAAGAGATTACAAGGAAAGGGATGCCATTGCTGCCAAAAATGTGAATGAAAGGGATGTTTAAATGTAATTGAATCTTTGGTGGGAAGTTTACTTGTTAAAAGGGATAGATGTGTTTGGTGTTGTATGTTTTTGTTAGATTAACAGATTTTTAGTGGACTGACTACTGAGTTATTTTCACAAACTTATGTTATTGTAATTGGGAAGGAATCTCTCTATTCTGTAATTGAGAAAATCTCTTCCAGTTTCCATCATTGTTGTAAATAAGAAAATTTGTCCTATAATTTTTTTTAACAAATACTGTAAATACATAATAAAAAATTTAGCCTTTGTTTTGCAAGTGTTCAAGTACGTTTATTTGTTAAAAAAATGTAACATGTTTGGAACTTTGGAATTTGACAGAATTAAATAAATTTTACATTAAAAAATATAATTTAATATATTTGAAGTGAATTGAATTTAAAATACCAGATCTGGAGGAATTTTAAAAGAAAAAACAGAATCTCTGTAATTCCTTTTGAATACCTTATCTTTATTCATTTTGAAATCTCACATCTAAAATGATTTGGTTCCAAACAGTGTTGATGAAAAGAAAAGTGGCTGTGAAATAAAACTTCTGGTATTATCTAAACGCAGTACAGAGTTAAGAAACACAATCTTTTTTCTTCATTGCATCTCTATGTCTAAAAACCCACCAGAGGTCCCTGGCCATCAGTATAAAATGTAATCCACAAAATACAACCGAACAGTCCTCATAAATGACAGTGTATCGAACCTTTTCCTAGCGGCAAACACCGATGACATTGTGGCGGCGGTGATAATAGATTGTGTTGTCGGAGAAGTTAAGGATCTTGGGGCATGGTTATGGTAGTGGTTTCTGCAAACATGCTCTCTGTGTGAAGCAATGGAATTAGGGTTGCAATGTTGCCGACAATGAAGATCTGTGGTGCAGCTAGCCATGAACAATTGTAGAGAGAGAAAGTGATACAGAAAAAGTGAGCATGAACAGTTGTAGAGAGAGAGAGAGAGAGAGAGAGAGAGAGAGGTGAGAGATGATCATAGTTTCATTGGTTGCCTTTTGATGGCAAAATTTCAAATTTTGATTTTTGAAATCTGGCGCGGCAATTTGAAACATTAGAAAATGGTTTCTAGTGTTAAAAGTTAACGTCCATTAACGAAGTTTGAGACCTTAAGATGGAATGCTGACAGGGCAAAATGCTTGAATGGCACATTAAGATTGGCTAGGGGCACCACCTCATGATGATGACCTGGAGTTCCTGGATTACTCAATAATTTCCCCCATTAGATGGAGGTGAATATTGTGAAGTAGTCTCATGAATAAATGACTAAACAAAAGAGTTGAATCCAAAAGATTCAAACTCCCGACCTCTATCACTTCTAATTCTCTCAATCTTTTTACCGAATTGATTTTCCACTTCAAGAAGGAATTATTTAAATTTCTCAAAAGCATCACTTTTATTTTTTAATAAATATACATTTATGTATTTTGAAAAATCATCAATAAATGTGATAAAACATCAGTTACCATCCCGAGTTAAAATTCCTTCAAACTCACACAAATCAGTATGAGATAATTCTAGCAATTTGGTATTTTTTTCAACACTTTTATGAGGTCTCTTGGTAATTTTTGCTTTACTGCAAACTTCACATTTCTCAAAAAAAATTATCACTTTAGAAATTAATCCTAAACTACTCATGATTCTCCCATATTTATTGTTAATATAACATAAGCGAGCATGCCAAAAATTAATAGAAGACAAAGTGTAAGTGGTGCCATAGTAATAATCATAAAATTAATCAGCAAGGCAATTTAAGAGATAAAAGCGACATTTATACTCATCTATATTGTAGGAAGCCACTTTTGCTTCATGTGCCTCATAGTCTTCATCATTCATCTCCTCGGTTAGGATTTTGTTTGGGTTCTTCTCGGTAAGAACATATGCAACTTTCAAAAGGCTGAGGTAAAAAAGAAATTTTCCTTTCCACCTCTTAAAATGAACTCCCTTGAACTTGAAAGGCTTGTTGAGATCTCCAATTCCATTATTGGTTTTTTCTAGTACTTGTTCCATGGTTGATCTCCTTAAAATTGTTGGTGAAAATACCAGAAAAATTATATTTTATTGATAAATAATGCAAAGAAAAAGAGATACAAATAGATTAGGCTGAGGCACGGTGTAGACTCGACTTTCTCCGCGCGTTCCCCTTTTGGAGAGGACGCGAATAGGTCTTACTACAGTTCGGACTCCTGTCACGGTTCTGAATCTAATCTCACAAAGTGCAATGTGAGATTGATAAACATCAAAGAGTCTAATCCTGCAATTCATTTTGGAAAATCGATTTTAAATCAAATATTACCAAAACTGGATTGCTTTGCCAAATTACAGAGTCACCACCTAAATATTTTATTTTTGAAAAATTTAGGAAACCTTGACTCGTGCCAAAGGCCACGTGTCCATCATCACCAAAGTTGCCTCGGCTCGGAAACTTAGGTACGAGAGGGAAGGTCATGAACTGAGCACCCCGGCTTGCCCGATCAAAGGATCGGCCTCTACTAAACATGATATGTTGTTTGATAAACACATGTGCTCTTATTCCAGTTATTAGCTAACTTACTATGTGATGTGCACAGCATACAAGTATAGACTCAATCACGAGAATTAGAACAAAACAACTCATGTTTCTTTTTTAAAATGGTTTGAAAGTGCTACTCATAAGTAGGCTAAAGCTCGGATTTGCCACACTCAAGTGGGCTTTAAAACATGATTTTGCCACTTCTCGAAGTGGGCTTAAAACTCACAATCATCAAGTATTTCCAATTTAGGCAATCAAGTCTTCACCCACAGGCATTCATGCAGTTAATCACTTAAGCAAATAGCCTCATGGCAAGCATGCTATCATGGCAACACTAACACTCATGCAAGGATGCTAAAGCATAAAACTTACAGTGTACTCCAAGCCAAAACAAAAGCTAGTTAGAAATCATACATGATCCTAACTATGTTCAAGATGCCTAATGCAACACATGCAAAAATGCAAATAATAGGCTCGGCCATCTAAGATGGCATATGAACGCAACACTTGATAACATGTTTTGAAACACGTATTCAAAGAAGTGTGTAGAAATATAATGTAGTTTGAATGATGCGCCGAGCCTGGTGCATGTAAGACAAATGAATGATGCAAACATGCAAGCATAAAGTATGCTAATTGAAAAATGCCCTAAAACTAACCATCGAAAGCGGTTAAATAAAATGGAGAAAGACGTGGGGTTGGAAGACATGCACACACACATGCACACTTATTACAACATCGTACTCTCTCGAAGGAGGGTCCGAATAAATAAGCTAAGCTAATCTAAGCTAAGCTACTTATTACAAACCAACTAATTAACTATTCTAGCTAATTAATTATTACAAACCAAATGAAATAACTAATTACACAAACTAAAAATATTACAACACTCGAATAATTAGCTATGCTAACTAATTAAAGCGATAAAATGGCCTCGCGGGCGAAGGAGACATGAATGCTCGGTTGGCCTCTGCTCAGAAATCCATTGCTTTGCTATCAATTGCCTCTGTTTGCACGTGCCTTGGTTTCTGAACATTGAACCAACCTTCACACTGTTTCTGCTCTAAAACAGGATGATTTATGCACAAAATTGGACTGGTGGCTGGTTGGCCACAAAAAGTGGCTGCCGGCCACCTCAACTTGCCGATCAGTTAGTGAAAGTGGCCGGTTGGCCACCTGCTTTTCCAGGCTTCTGGTTTTGCTGCAACAGAGAACAACAGAGGCACAGCAATGTATTTGCAAGGAAATGTGTGTACTGCCACACTCCTCATCATTTCTCAAGCTCAAAGGAGTGTGGTGCTCGGCTTTCAAGCCACCAACCAAGCATCTCAATGCATGATGGTCCAAAAACCAAGCTTGTACAAGCTTAGTGAATGTGCACATATGACTCAAAGTGCCTCCACCTTATCATGCATGATCAAGGGTGATAGTGACCAAGAAATGCAAGACGTTTCATCACTGTAAGTATGAAACGTCATCACTGTGAGTATGAAACGTCTCACATTTCTTGTGTTTGGATTAACGTCCGATCCAAATACATGCAATGCAACACAAATGCTTATCTTATTCATGTTTTACTTGTCCACTTTCTTGTTTACTCATTTTACATTACCAAACCATTCTTTACTTGATTTGTCCAATTTGAAAGTCCTCTAATGAGAGAGGGGTTAACCAAAAGAATGGTTTAGGACGTGAGAGAGATCATGCCTTTGGCTAGGAGGAATCCTCATAAGAGGGTTAAAGCCATTTGAGCACAAACTCTATCAAGCTTAAACACAAGCACAAGGTAAACCAACCCTCAAAACAAATCAAAAGTGAAGAAATGTGGGAGATGACAGATATTTCAGTACTAAAGTGGCATGAAAAACAATACAACAACATGCAAACAACACATGCACAACATGTTAAAGGCCAAAAGCATTGAAACTAGTGAAGGACACAACACTAGAGGCATGCAATACCAATCACAAATGGCCAAACCAGCTATGGACAGACCTAAAACATGCCAAAGCAGTGACCAAAACAATCTGAAACGGTGGCATGAAAAGCAAGAAAGACATGCTCATGTATTGGCTCATAAACAAGGCACAAAGCTCACCTCTCAAAAGCAATTAAAGAGCGATATTTATGAGAGTATGACAAGGCTACATCCGCTGAAATCATGTCTGAAATGATGCTATGACATGCAAACAACTCAAGCAAAGCATGTAAGGGGCCTTAACTCACAAAGCTAGTAAAGTCATTTAAACTATAGCTATACAAGGTAAGCTTCAAAGGACCAAGACCACTCAAAACAGAGTTAGAGCATGGCAAAACATGAGCAAAAGTATGCTGAGATGGAGCTAACACAAGTTAAAATGATAGGCTAACTCATTAAGCATGCTAAGCTAGTAAGCATGATTGCACTACAAGTGTAAGAGTAGGGGTGTCCGTGGTTCGGTTTGGGACGGTTTGCGGTTCGGTTTGAACCCG